GTGGTGCTGGCGGCGCTGGCCCTTGTGGCCCTGGCTCACCCTCAGCCTAGCTTCTTCAAGGGCTGCTGCCGCGGCGGCTACAGGAAGGGCCATGGTGGCGGCGGCGGCGGATACAGGAAGGGGCATGGTAGCGGCGGCGGTGGATATGGAAAGGGCCATGGCAGTGGTGGCGGCGGCGGCGGCGGATATGGTAAGGGCCATGGCAGTGGTGGCGGCGGCGGCGGATATGGAAAGGGCGGTGGTGGCGGCGGCGGCGGATATGGAAAGGGCGGTGGTGGCGGCGGATATGGAAAGGGCGGTGGTGGCGGCGGCGGCGGATATGGAAAGGGCGGCAGCGGCGGATATGGAAAGGGCGGTGGTGGCGGCGGCGGCGGATATGGAAAGGGCGGTGGCGGCGGCGGTGGAGGATATGGAAAGGGTCATGGCGGCAGCGGCTTCGGAAAGTAACATTGCTTTTCTTCGAAAAGTGGACCATGGTAATGGTAATACTTCATGGTTATGACATAGACTATAATAATTCTTCATGGTTGTGGTAACAAAGTGCCAACTGTAAATTATCATCTTGCTAATACTTGATTATTTCAGTTATATTGATCACGGATATATACACCCAGAGGTGCACCTCGCTTCTCAGAGTATACACCGAGAGGTGCACCTCGCTTCTCAGAGTATACACCGAGAGGTGCACCTCGCTTCTCAGAGTATACACCGAGAGGTGCACCTCGCTTCTCAGAGTATACACCGAGAGGTGCACCTCGCTTCTCAGAGTATACACCGAGAGGTCCTCGACTGTGATCGGGACTAAGGTAAACTTGCTGGATGGTCAGTATAAGCACTTTTGGGGGGGCCTTAACCCTCCAGAGGTTGATGGGCTTTGAGGCCAACACCAAATCATGTATTCACAATTACACAATGAAACCACAATAATGAGACACGAGACAATATTTGGAGCAGGACAGTGGAATCGAACCAGCGTCCTGGGGTCACCCCAGACTGGGGTCGAACCCCGATATGCTTAAAAAACTAATATGTAAAAATCTGATTGTATATCAACTTTACGGTGCCACTACAGTCCATGTGAGTTTGAACGGACGCCAGTTATCTTACTTTTTAGCATACCGTGGCCCACCGTGGCCCACCGTGGCCCACCGTGGCCCACCGAGGCCCACCATGGACCACCGAGGCCCACCGTGGCCCATACTATGCGTCTCTGGGGTGGCCTGGGGCCATGCCGGTGGCCTGCACCAAAAATTTGATCAGATAAAGCTCGTTACAGTGGTTTAATTGTGTAAGTGTAAATACATGATTTGGTGTTGGGCATAAAGGCCTATCAACGTCCCGAGGGTTATTAAGGCCAAAACACCTCACTGACCAACCAGCAAGTATACTTTACTCCTGAACACAGTCCAGGACTAAAGTAAACTCTGTGTATATACACTGTGAAGTGGAGTACACCTTTCGTTGTGATTCAGTGTAGTTATATTCCTAGTTTAGGTAATTTATAAATTGTTTTTTCAGGTCCCCATTATGGACGCAGTCATGCGAAACGTTTTGTAAATATACTTTATAAAAAGAAAAAGCTTTTCAATCGAAACGCCTTATTGCTAAGCAATTATTATTAATAACTAGATGAGGCACCTGGCAGTGCCCGGGACTCTTTACTGTTTGTCTCTGTTTGGCTCTCTCTCTCTCTCTCTCTCCCTCCCTCCCTCCCTCCCTCCCTCCCTCCCTCCCTCCCTCCCTGACATTCTGTCTCTCTCCCTCCCGTTCTCTCTCAGAACGCACAGTGTACACGGCCACCAAACACACAACGTAACCACAATGTTCGTTAGTGTACTATTGCTAGATACATAGTTGTGGTCACGTTGTGTGACGGGTTTTTTGTTTTGTTTTTTGTATTAACACATTTCACGTCCATGTGCATTTGTGCAGCTGCCCCTAGACTATATGAAAGGGAGTACAGAGTGTGTCAAAAAACTAGCTACGTGATGCTAATAACCCCATTCACACAGGATGGCTTTAGAGTCATGCAGGGTCATGTGATGAGTATAATCTGCACTGGCAAACTCTGGGTGCATTATGAGGATATCATCATCAACACAAGAGTGAATAAAGCAGCAGTGATACTAAAAGTCCTCCATCTCGCAGGATGGTTAGTCATACAGGGCTATATGTTCAATGGCCTTGTATGACTAACCATCCTGGGTTGGATAGTCAGGCTCCATAGAAGTCGCTGATTTTCGAGTAACAAAGGGTGGGCCAGCCACAGTAACAAAAGGTGAGCCAACTACAGTAACAAAATGGTGGGTCAGCCAGGAGCACAAAATAGAAAATTATCTAAGACAAAATATATCCTTATCTTTTCATCGTGTCTGGTATATGCTGTATCAGGCATCCCCCACCCCCCACCCTCTCTGCTTCAGGAACCCCCAGGAAGCCCTCCAGGAAGCTCCAGCTCTCAAGAATTCCCCATGAACCTCAAGAAAGCCCCAAGAAACCCCCCAGGAAGCCCCAGCCCAAAAAAGCCCCAGGAAACCCCCAGAAAGCCCAAAGAAGTCCCCAGGAAGTCCTCAGAAAGCCCCCAAGAAGCCTCCCCACCATGAAATATCCCTACCAGAGTGACAAACTCGTCAACACGTCTAAATTCGCTAACACTAATCACTAATGATAATAATTAGTGATGGAACACTAATCTCTTAACGGTAATGAGGGGGTTCCAACCAGGGTCCAGGATGTAGGTGACCCACTCGCTACCACTGTGCCCTTGAGCGAGATGGGACTAGTACCGGAGATTCTGACTTCCCCCCCCCCCCTCCCTAGAATACAACCCACAACATTGGCCTAATCAATAAAATAAAATAAAATACCACTATACTAATAAAGGGTTGAACATTTATAATATAGCTAAATTACATAATAAAAATCATAATAACATTACACTCCTGGTATCTATTTACTGCAAAGGTGAACAGAGGCATCAGATGTAAGGAAACTTGCTAAACATCTCTCCCTCTGCCCTGGAATTGAACTTGGGTTCAATCGGTCGAGAATTGACTGTGCTAATCAGGTCAGGTTTTACTCGGTACACAAACTGCCACTCAGGAACCTCAGTAGGAATGGTTTGCAGAGGAGGATAGCTGAAGGGCGCGAGCAGCAGGTAACAACACACTCGCCCTGCGTCTCCTGAGGGATCTGGCCTGGGTTCGAGTCCTGGCCAGGGAGGATTGTCTGGGCGCCAATCCTTAGTTGCTCGACCCTGTTCACTCGGCAGTAATTGGGTATCTGGTTGTTAACAGATTGGCAGGTCATGTTCCAAGGAAAAAATATAGGGTGAGGCTTACCATGTGCTATGGGGAGATGGAGCTCTCAGCCTGTTATCAGAAGTCGTCTGTCCTTGTACCCTCCTGTATAAAAATAAAATATATATTGACATTGGAATAATTTGACGGATTTGTCCGGATGTATTCTAACATCAGTATGTGTTATCATATAAAACTTCCTCTGGGCTGATAGCATGTGTAGTGACTGGAAGAGTTAGTTTAATTTAGTTCATTTATTATGCACCCCCATACCCATCTTGTGGGGCGGTAGTGGAAAGGGTTACAGAGGCACATAATGGGCTCAGGGATTGAACCTATATATATATATATATATATATATATATATATATATATATATATATATATATATATATATATATATATATATATATATATATATATTAGTATATTTTGGTAGCAGTCTTTCCTGTAGACATATATTATTAAATATGACCGAAAAAGTAAGATTAATAATTCTAACACGAATTTTCTCAATCTTTCGTACATTTCTTTTCACTGTTGGAGGTAAATCAAAAATCAATTCTCCAAAATTCATTATATATATATATATATATATATATACATATGACTGAAAACTCACACCCCAGAAGTGACTCGAACCCATACTCCCAGGAGCAACGCAACTGGTAACTACAGGGCGCCTTAATCCGCTTGACCATCACGGCCGGACAAAAGGAAGTGGTAGCCGAAGCTATTTGAACCACTTCCCCGCCGGCAACTCGGATGGTCGCATATAGTCCTGGGGACCATTCAGGCTTGTTTGCATATATACATATATATATATATATATATATATATATATAAGTCAACACTTTGCACTTAAAAAACTGCAGGACAAGAGAGCAGATGCATAACTTGTATTAAAACTCACTAGTAATGTTGGTTTGGTGTCACTACATTAGATGACTAGCAATTGGGAAGGCAGGGACTAAGATCTGAATCCACACACACAGAGGATGTATAGATAGCTGAGGAAAGGTACTTGACACTACAGTAATACTCAAACTACTGAGTTGTCATCATGTATAGTCGAGCTCCGTAGACGGCTCACAAGACTTACATATACACATACAGCCAATCGGAGAACCTGGTGCCTATGGGAGAACCTGGTGACTGTGGGAGAACTGTGATAGTTGTAGATGGTGTTATACTGAAAATTGCCTCGAAACTGAAATGAGGAAGGGTATACTACACCTGTATACTGGACTTTGTACTGAGAGAGACTGTGGTGTGTTCGTTCCAGTTTAAAAGTATGTTGAAGGCTTTTGTTGGGACGTCAAGTGAAGGCTGCTTCCAGGCCGCTTTCCAGATGACTTGAAGAATCCTTCTGTGTGATATCCTGAAGCACCTTGTAGACTAACGCTCCCTTGAGCTCCCTGCGCTGGCAAACTCTTGTTGCAGACGTCTGTGAAGACAACTATCAACGGAAACGACATGCAACTCCTTGCAATCCTCGCGTCACTACTGGCAACAGTTCATTCACTCAGTAAATTCACAGTTCATTCACAGTTCCTGCTGTCTCGGCTTTATTGTTCTGTAGTAAAAAAACATCTTCAGAAATTCTGTATTTAGATTCTAAATATTTATTTAGATTTAACGCATGGACAGTATAATTTAAAATAATATGTAGCGAAAGATATAGAGAAAAAAAGTGGAAGTATGGGTGAGGGGCGGGATGAGAGGTGAGAGAGAGAGAGAGAGAGAGAGAGAGAGAGAGAGAGAGAGAGAGAGAGAGAGAGAGAGAGAGAGAGAGAGAGAGAGAGAGTAAAATGACAGGTGAAAGAGAGAAGGGGGGAAGTTACAGCCCCGCTCCTGTGCCAGGTAAGTCCACTATGGGCTCACCATAGCCCGTGCTACTTGGAACTTTTTGTTCCCAGTAGCTGAATCTTAAACAACAACAAGGAGAGAAGGGGTTACGGGCTCACCCTAGCCCGTGCTACATGGAAGTTTTTTTCCGAGTAGCTGAATCTAAAATAAATTTAGTTTTATTATGTGCATTGTTAATAACTTTTTGTTCAATAGATTACTTGATGTTTTATTTAAGGTTTGAGAGTTCTGTAATTCCTACAACAACAAAGAGGAGAAGGGGGAACTATCAGGAGATAGCGCCAATTAAGCCATTACGACTATATAGCACTTGGAAGGGGTCAGGATAAGGATCTGGGATAGGTCTGGGTGAAAGAATGGTGCCCAACCCCTTAAACAGTCGGGGATTGAACGCAAAGTTCAAGTACGTTTATTGAGAAAATAAAATACATCTCAAAAGGATAGAGACTGAACGCCGACCTGCATGAAGCGAGACCGTCACTCTACCGTCCAGCCCACACAGTGAGCTGGACGGTAGAGAGAAGACAAGGGTGTCTGAGAGTGAAGAAAAGTTTGTCTGAGAGTGAAAAGAAGGGTGTCTGTGAGTGAAGAGAAAGGTAAACAAAAATCACAAGTTCTTCGCCTTTAACATTCCTCACAGAATACGTCATCGAGGTCGTCAAGCAAGACTTCAACTTGACCAGGTACTTCTTCAGCATGTACCGCGGCTGGTTCCTCCCTCAAGATGCCCAGACCCAGCTCCTCCTCCAGTTTATCATGCAAGGAGGAAACATTTCCTGGACAGTGTTCTCCCCCATCCTTTCCAAACCCTTTGGACATCAAAGCTAAAGGACAGTGTCTCAGAGGCTGACCTCGGCAAGTGGAGACGGCTGGAGGTGACCAAGGTATGTATGTGGGAGTCCTCCTTCAACCTTGTCGACGAGCGGACGTCTGGACACCTGCTTTACCTACGGGGCCGCCGGAACACAACGTTAATTTACTCTTTGGTTCGCCATTTTTTCCGTCAGGCATTCCCCTTCAACGGCCCAGATGGATAAGACGCTTAGCGCACCTGTCGCCTGGAGTCACAGCGATGTTGGAAGATATACCGTAGATGGGAGTGCCCCGTTCACATCAGGGCACTCCCTGATGTGCTCTCTGGGCGTGGTGGGCTCCTGATGTGCCCTCAGAACGTGGTGGGCTCCTGATGTGCCCTCAGGGCGTAGTGGACGGCTAGCTGGCTCCTGCTCAGCCAGAAGTCTCTGGAAGACATGTTTTTGCTCGACTGGATTCTAGTTCAGGAGGTGCCATCGCGATTCTTCAGATCGACTGCGACTTTGCACGACAATCCAGAGTTTAAAGAATGCCTGACACCTTATCGTCTGGCGTCTCTTGGTGTCGACAGTCTTTCTCTTGGTTTCTTATGGGGTTTGTTTCCGGCGCTTGCCTTCCCGGGGGACCTCAGGGGTCACAAGTATCGGCCTAACGGTGCGTTTCTGCTGCAAGACACACTTGTTTTCCATAGACAGGCGGATATAGCCACAAGGTTTTTGCGTGTTTTCCTCCACTGAAGCGCCGGGGCACATTCGGCTCTTGTGGCGTCGTGGCCCCCCCAAAGTCAACAACAATGAGTGTTTATGTGTAAGTCATGGAAGTATACTAGGAATATATATGTCGTATATGTACTTCATTTATATATATATATATATATATATATATATATATATATATATATATATATATATATATATATATATATATATATATATATATATATATATATATTAGTTAAGTAGTATGAAGAAAATACATTACTTTTTAAATCTATGTATTTTTTTTGTGTGACAGCCCCTTTATAGCTTGCATTTTGTTTCCTGTTAAGACGATACATTTTAATCAATCTAGCTATTATAATTATATAAGTAAAAAATGTGTACAATTTTCGTTTGCTTAATATATATTATTAACACTCTTTTTTCCTGTACCCTTTACTTAGAGTAGATCGAATAGCCCACAGTCGATTTACAACAAATTCGTTCCGGTTTTGAGTCCCAGACTGGTCGAAACGTTTGGGCATATTAGCTGAACTTAACAACAAGTAGTGAACCCTCATATATGACACGAGTGACGACGTTTCGGTCCATCCTAGAACCCTATCAGGCCACTGCTTGATAAGGGTCCAAAACGGATCGAAACATCGACACTCAGCATTATATATGTGGGTGGTTTATAAGACATCGCTGAGGCCAGAGGAACGTTCCACACGCACAATAATATTGAGTATTACTACGCTTGCTAGTCCCTCGTCTCAGTGCGTTGAGCCTTGCGTAACGCAGAGCCGTGGTTACGCAGCAGGCCACCTTCACCCTAGCGCAAGACAGGGAGCGTAGCGCCAGCCACAATGAGGTATAACTCATTCCATGTAGATCGTTGCCACAGACTCCCGACCTGCGCTAAGTGAAACGCAGGCACGTCACTTTGACTTACAGACAACACAATCGCTGGGGGGTCACCCGTGCGTGACACGGCCCGGGTGAGGCCTCCCGGGACCTCTGAAGCCCCCCTAGAGTCAACCCTCAAGTGACCTAACCACCTTGAACGTTCTAAGCCACCTCAGGAGGTCAACCCTCACCTATAGGCTGACCCATGGGGGGTCAACGCGCCTCAAACCCTTTGTTTGAAGACCGGGTATGTTAAACAGAATTGTCCCATGACCCAACCCCAATCTACGCCCTCCCCACCCCCTCACTGTGTTAGGATTCTCCCACTCTTGTGTCACTGCCTCACCTATTTCCCCCCCCCCATCCCCCCGTGTCACCTGTGTAACGCATGTGTAACCATCCCCCCCTCCCCGGGTCCCCTGTCACTGTCACTTGGAAGTGAGAGGTATATATATAAGTGGCGAATGACCAGACCTGACATGCATTGCCTCTCTGGCTCCTTCCCAGGCAACATGGCACTCCCGGTGGTAAGTTTATTCTCTCCGTTGCCCCTCACCTACAAGTTGCCCTCATCTCACATTTTTGAGCATTTGTACTAGTTTTGTTCATCTATTATGCACCCTATACCCATCCCGTGGGTGATGGTGAACACTATACCCATCCCGTGGGTGATGGTGAACACTATACCCATCCCGTGGGTGATGGTGAACCCTATACCCATCCCGTGGGTGATGGTGAACACTATACCCATCCAGTGGGCGGGGGAAATGGAAAACGTGACAGAGGTACACAATGGGTTCAGAAACTGAACCCCAAAGCATATTTAGCTTTGTATCTTATGAAACTAGTTAAACAATTTATATATATTGTGACGAGACTCTGGAATAGAGCAGTGGTTATTCTGGCAGGTCTTGTGCCTATCGCGCATTAATAAAAAAATTAAAACAAAGAAAAAACTGCTTATGTCCTCTACAGTGTGAGAGCTGCAGGTAAAAATCAAAGAGAATAAAAACTCCAAACATTTAATATAACAAAAATGACATTAATAACACACAAAATAAAATAATAAGTAATAATTAATGAAAAACAAAACCCCCTTAGACACTTGGCTTTACATTAGATCAAAAAACAGAAATATATACAAGTGAAATTTACGTTAATATCAAGGGTGCAAGTAATTCTTTATACAAAACTGCACACGTCTACCGTCACCCAAGGGAGCGAGAGTAGATGTTACAGCTGAGAGCATGAAGGGTAATCTAATGTCTGGACGCCGGCGAGCCCTATTTATATGGGGCATGACGTCAGAGCTGGCACAAATTCTATAGGTAACTATCGGCCGGTTGAAGAACGGTCATTAGCGGGTGGCGTCTGGTCTCGTGCCGAGACAGCAGGTGTGGTAGTATCTTGGATTCTGGAGGGTGGAGGTGTGCTTGTGGACACGTATTGTTGTTGTCGTTGATGTTGAATTTTGCAGATACGTTGATAAATAGGTTGTAAAGGGAATATGCGGGAAAAGGAGCAGGCAGGCTCTACTGCTAGGCAGGAGATTGCTGTAACAATATATATATATATATATATATATATATATATATATATATATATATATATATATATATATATATATATGGGTGAGCGAGCCACATACCCATCTAATGGGTGACACCTGTAGAAAATTGTGCCATATGCTTGCACTACTTTACTTACCTGTTGATGAACGCCTATGTTAACTTACCTGTTGATGAACGCCTATGTTAACTTACCTGTTGATGAACGCCTATGTTAACTTACCTGTTGATGAACGCCTATGTTAACTTACCTGTTGATGAACGCCTATGTTAACTAACCTGTTAATGAACACTTGTGTTATGACTGTTACTAACTGCTTCCTCCATCTCCCTACAGCGTGTGGCCCTCCTGGCACTGTTGGTGATGTTCGTGGTGACCCTGGCACTCTGTGCCCCTGAGCCAGAGGGCGGCAAGGGCCATGGTGGCGGGGGCGGCCACGGTGGCGGCTATGGCCATAGTGGTGGCGGCTATGGCCATGGTGGCGGTGGAGGTGGCGGCTACGGCAAGGGTGGTGGCGGCTATGGCCATGGCGGCGGGGGCGGCCATGGTGGAGGTGGCGGCTATGGCCACGGCGGTGGTGGTGGCGGAGGCTACGGCAAGGGTGGTGGCGGTTATGGCCATAGTGGTGGCGGCTATGGCCATGGTGGTGGTGGTGGCGGCGGTTACGGCAAGGGTGGTGGCGGCTATGGCCATGGCGGCGGGGGCGGTTATGGCCACGGCGGTGGGGGTGGCGGCGGCTACGGCAAGGGTGGTGGCGGTTATGGCCATAGTGGTGGCGGCTATGGCCATGGTGGTGGTGGCTACGGCAAAGGTGGTGGTGGCGGCTATGGCCACGGCGGTGGTGGTGGTGGCGGCTATGGCCACGGCGGTGGTGGTGGTGGCGGCTATGGCCATGGTGGTGGTGGCTACGGCAAGGGTGGTGGCGGCTATGGCCATGGTGGTGGTGGCTACGGCAAGGGTGGTGGCGGCTATGGCCACGGCGGTGGTGGTGGCGGCTATGGCGGAGGTGGCGGCTACGGCAAAGGTGGAGGCGGTTATGGCCATAGTGGTGGCGGCTATGGCCATGGAGGTGGCGGCTATGGCGGTGGAGGTGGCGGCTACGGCAAGGGTGGAGGCGGTTATGGATATGGTAAGGAAGCCACAGTTACTAAAGTAATCTGTTTATGAAATATATACACCATCAGCTGTAGTAATTACTGATAACAATTTGTTGAATAATACTGTGATCCACTGTGAGTGACTGTCATGTTCTCAGTGGTGTACCCCCGACCCACTGTGACTGTTAATGTATCTACAATTTTCTGTTTTTCTTTTTGTATTCACAGGTTACCACTGATCTCCAGACGCAGCATTTACACTGTTACATTGTAAATAAACGTTTTCTATGGATATTACATTTTTTTAAAATTCCTTATATCATGGTACGAACAATATACGCTAATTTAGGCATATATGTTGTGCCATTAAAAGTCTATTTGCTAATGAGAAAATCATTTTAGGGTAATGGGGTGACTTGTTTATACTGTACATATTTGACTAAAGGAAATGCGTGCTGTATCTTGGGCACGCACCCAACCTCCGAAGAACTGGATGAGGTCTACGAACAGTGATTGTTATATATATATATATATATATATATATATATATATATATATATATATATATATATATATATATATATATATATATATATATATATATATATATATATATATATGTGTGTGTATATATATATATATGTATATATATATATATATATATATATATATATATATATATATATATATATATATATATATATATATATATATATATATATATATGTTGTACCTAGTAGCCAGAAAACACTTCTCGGCCTACTATGCAAGGCCCGATTTGCCTAATAGGCCGAGTGATTTTCTTTATTTTCAATAAATTGTTTCCAATTAGTTTACTTGAATTATTATTATTGTAACACGGGGGTGTATTGGCTCTACCTTGTCCTTTACCCGCCCGTAATTATATTTACTTAAACTTAATTCCAAGGGACCCCAAAGCTAACTCTAGCAGAGTCCCACGTCACGTGGCCTTAGCCGCTCGATCGGCTAAGATTCTACAGTCCCCGTGACGTCGTACTAGACTTCTAGCAAACTCAAGGATCTCTTTCTGCTGTCACCACCAGACCATTAACCAAAAACGTCAATTAATCGGGGTCTGGACCAATTAATCAATCATTAACCTTGTGGCTTAATCCCCAAATTACTTGGAAAAGGAGGGATGAATCTACGTTAAGTGTGGGAATTACAGAAAACAAGGGGATATATATAGTTCTTAACTTTGCTAGGCTTGTAACCCAAATAAACTCAGACTCATGGAGACCACATGACAAGGACATGCAAAAACATTCATGGAAATAATAAAATACAGAGAACAATCTAATCATTTATTTATGCAAAATCTAAACAACAACTAATAAATATCACTCCCAGACTGAACACTCCCTAACATGACTTTCTAAAACTTTTAATATTCCCCATTGAGGCACGAAATGAACTGTTTACCTATAACAACTCTCAGCAACTTTACCTTGTTTATTAAACCAGCTGATGGAATGCTGATCTCGGGAGAGGTGAGAGTGGATCGACTTCTCCAGTTGCTGACCGAGCCCGCACTCTGTCCCGCCTAGCCCTCCTCACAGCTAGTGAGAGCTAGGGAGTATCATTCCGCCAGGTATACTAAGTTTACTAAGCAGGGTTTAAATTGAACAACTAATCTCTGTTGTACTGAACAACCCAGATGACATGGTGACGTGGTCTCTCGATGTAATGTCAAGGATGCATCTCAGGTTCCGCATGTGAAAGGTATTGAGCAATCTCTCCTGGCGAGAGCGCAAGGTTCAGGATTCCGAGGCGAAAAGAAGAGTACTCACCACACATGCATGTAGATCTGTGCCTTGGTGTGTACTGTCAGTTTGGCATGTTCCCAAATGCGCTTTGTAAGCCTGGCCAGTGTTGTTGCGGCCTTCCCGATACGCCTGTTGAGCTCAGTGTCCAGGGAGAGTGTCTGAGATTGTGGAGCCCAGGTACACAAACTTGTAGACCGCCTCCAGCACGCAGTCTGTGATCTTTATACAGGGGGTAACTCATTGATGTCTTATCCCATCACCAGTGTCTTCTTTAGGCTGATTGTCAAGCCGAGTACGAAATAGGCTGCGGCAAAGCGGTTGAGTAGCTGCTGCAGGCCTTCTGCTGTGTATATGGTGATCGCTGAGTCGTCAGCGAAGAGGAAGCCCCTGAGGATTCTCATCTGTACTTTCGTCTTTGCTCGGAGTCTGGATAGATTGAAGAGCTTTCCATCAGATCTTGTACGGAGATTGATGCCCTCTGTGGTTGTTCCAAAGGTATGTTTGACGAGGATCGCAAAGCGGCCGAACGGGGTTGGAGCAAGGATCCATCCCTGTTTAACACCACTGTTGATGGTGAAGGGTTCAGACGTTGAGCCATCGTGTGCGACGGCTCAAGTTGCCCTTGCTCTCCATGCCCTCGTGGAACGATTATATCATGCTGAGTAGGTTGGGTAGACAGCCAATTTTGGCCAAGATCTTAAAGAATTCGTCCCTGTTCACGAGGTTGAAAGCCTTTGTAAGATCAATGAAGACGATGTTCAGGGCTTTTCTCTGCTCCCTGCACTTTTCTTGAAGCTGTCTCAGGGAGAACACCATGTCAGTAATCGACCTTTTGGCTCTGAAACCGCACTGTGACTCTGGGTACACTTTCAGTAAGAATCTGGAGCCTGACCAAGACGACCCTGGCGAAGAGTTTTCCAGCGACGCTAAGAAGGGAGATGCCGCGATAGTTGTTGTAACCGCTTCTCTCACCTTTATTTTTGTAGAGTGATGATGTTCGCATCTCTCATGTTTTGTGGCACCGAGCCCTCCCTCCAGCACTGGTACAAAAGTTCATGAAGCTCCGTTTTAAGTGTTCCTCGAGCGCACTTGAAAACTTCAGGCGGAATCGCGGCGTCTCCTGGGGCCTTCTCTGAGGCCCCAGGAGACGAATCCAGTGCTTTCTGAGGTGAATCCAGTGCTTTCTCAACTTCTTTCACATTCTGTTCAATGACAAGTTCTTCCATGATGGGCAGGCACTCGATTGCATCCAAGGCCTCTACGCTGACCAAGTTCTCTCTGGAGTAGAGTTTGGAGTAATGTTCCACTCGGCGATTCATCTGTTGATCACAGTCTTCAATGATCTCTCTGGTGGCTGACATCAGAGGAGCTGTCGTGTTTTGTGTAGGGCCAGTTGCCTGTTTGATCCCTTCGTACATGCCTCTTATGTTTCTAACTGCGACCCAACGAGGGGCGGTAGCGTGGTGGTTAGCGCAGTCGGATCGCACTCAAACACTTCTGGGTTCTTTTCCCGGACTGGGCGAGGGAATTTGGGGCACTGTTTTGTTGTTTATCTAGAAGTATATTGGTACCCGGGAAATAAAGGCAACTGTTTGCATCCTGGGGAAGGGTCAACTTAAGTCTCAGTCAGTCTATCTTACGGAGGTGTCTCTGCAAATGCACAAATGCGTTTTGCAGAGAAGTGTTGGAGGTGGAACTCCTTGACTATGACCAGAGAGCATGTGCGAGTGGGGAGGGGGCATTGTGTGAGACCATGTTTAGGCTTCAGTTGGAAGCCTCAGGACCTCCCCTAGAGGATAAAGCGATTTATCTGCACATTGTTACTGATTGAATCATTGAAACACAGAGCTCTTTCCTGTCGGCAGGAAACTGTGGTTGAGAGGATGGTGGCGCCGGCCGAGCGGTGGGGCTGAGGGAGACAGACCGCTGCGCACGCCTTCTGACTGATGAGTGATATGCTTGTCAATATTTACATAGTTCGTCTCTGCTGCCGTAGCGGCATAAACATCATTCCCCAATCCTGTGGCCATATAAGAGCCGCCAGAGACACTGTGAGCACCAGTTCCTCGCTGGCGGTCCTGAGAACCACATGGCTTCCAATATGGTGAGTCCGCCGCCCTTCCTTACTTTTCCCAGATGCTGGTTGACAGTGATGGCCGAGAACTGCCTGCAGGTGTGGCACTGCTCGCCCTCTGGGACGGTGATGCCTGCAGGTGTGGCACTGCTCGCCCTCTGGGACGGTCATGCCTGCAGGTGTGGCACTGCTCGCCCTCTGGGACGGTGATGCCTGCTGGAATGTTACTGCTCGCCTTCTGAGATGGTGAGACCTGCAGGTGTGGCACTGCTCGCCCTCTGGAACCCTGACGCCTTCTGGTGTGGCACTGCTCGCCCTCTGGAACGGTGATGCCTGCAGGTGTGGCACTGCTCGCCCTCTGGGACGGTGATGCCTGCAGGTGTGGCACTGCTCGCCCTCTGGGACGATGATAACTGCAGGTGTGGCACTGCTCGCCCTCTGGGACGGTGATGGTTATCTTGAGGTTATCGTGATGCCTGCAGGTGTGGCACTGCTCGCCCTCTGGGACGGCGATGCCTGCAGGTGTGGCACTGCTCGCCCTCTGGGACGGTGATGTCTGCAGTTGTGGCACTGCTCACCCGTCAGTGACAGCGACAGAAATACCACTGGACGGGATCTATAATCATGTTCAAAACAGACACACCTATAACAGGGCCGGAGTTAGAAGCCTTGCACATGATCTATGATGATCTTGGTGACATACGCAACAGTTTAATGTCATCTCATAACTCAGACATTTTAGCGGTCTGTTTACTTAAAAACACTAGACAAATACTACCGTCTGAGTGTGAGAGTGTTGAACTAGCCAGGCAATCCTTATAGTTCCTTGGACTAGTTCCAGCTAGCCAGTAATTATATTCTTCATTTGCTAGCTCTAATTAGTATACTTATCTTCCCCCTCCACAGAGACTCATACTAGCAGTCGCCACAGTGCTGCTGTTGCTAGTGGTGGTGCTAGTTGATGGAGAGCCTTACCCCTTCTTTATCGAGGAGCTTGGTGGATATGGAGGCGGATATGGCGGCGGATATGGAAAGGGTAAAGGCAAAGGTAAAGGCAAGGGAAAAGGCAAAGGAAAAGGCCATGGTGGATGCGTATGTGGATATGGTGGTGGACACGGCGGCGGATATGGCGGTGGATATGGTGGCGGCCACGGTGGCGGCTATGGCGGTGGATATGGTGGCGGCCACGGCGGTGGATATGGTGGCGGCGGCTACGAGAGCGGATATGGTGGATACGGCGGTGGTGAAAGCTATGGTGAGGAGCCCAATCTGGACACCCATATCCATAATGTATATATATATATATATATATATATATATATATATATATATATATATATATATATATATATATATATATATATATATATATATATATATTAATGCTTCAAATACTTGCTATTCTCCCATAATGTGCTCCGTCTAGAGATGCTACTTTCCTATAATTATCAGTTGCTTGAAATATTGATGTCATTAGTATAGTAATCATTCATGCCAGCTACTACTACTACCTTTACTATTACTACTGCTGTTACTGCTTCTACTACAACCATATCTACTACTATTGCTACTACTACTACTACCATATTTAGTACGATTACTACAACTATTGTTACAAATATTACTACTAGTAATAATAATTGTTGTAATCGCAGAACTATTACCACTTCTGCTGTAACCACCATTACTGTTTTGATCAACTTAACTATTTTGATTTACAGGTTACCACTAGCTGCAGGATGTAGCCTCATAGAATATTTCTTTAATAAAACGTTAAGATTACAACTTTGTTTACTTCCCTGACTAAAATAACAAGTATCATGTTATCGCCCCGAGTTGATTCCCAAACACACGAACGTGCAGCACGTGTGTGTGTGTGTGTGTGTGTGTGTGTGTGTGTGTGTGTGTGTGTGTGTGTGTGTGTGTGTGTGTGTGTGTGTGTGTGTGTGTGTGTGTGTGTGTGTGTGTGTGTGTGTGTAATGGTCTGTTTCACAGACCAAGCTTCTCTCCTTCCCCTCATTCGTCTTCCCCTTACTTCTTTCTCCCCCCCCCCCCCTTTCCCTCCATTGCCTCAGCTTTCCTTCTCCCTCCCCGTCTTGCCCCCTGCCCCTCACCAGTCATAAAACTCCAGTCAAGAGTCCTTAGGCAAGGCACACTGCCCTTCCGTCGCCGGCCAATCCTATTCCCTAATCCTCCTCCCAATCCTCTTTCCCCAATACTCCTTCCAATCCTCCTTCCCAACTATTGCCCCTCTCTCTCCAGTCTCCTCTATAGCTGTTGACAAATTGAGGGGCAATAAACTCAGCCAGTGCCATATACCTCCTGCTCTGGTTTCCTGGATGAAGCGCGGGAACGGGCGAGTACTCTGTCGAGGGAAACAGACCCTTCAGGACATGCCTACAACCTAGCCTGGAACTGATTGGTGGAAGCCAAGGAGGCCCAGGGGGCAGGGCTAAGTTCTGGCACTAGTTGGCTGGACCAAGGCCTAGAGCCGGACCTATGAAATCATTGCCTCTAGACTTGAAGAGGCGGGGTTTATTGGGCCTAATAATCTAGAGTGGGCGAAGTTACCTTGACTAGTTAGCTTGTGAATAAAATTTGAGTCAGTGTGTCCTGAGAGTGTTTTGGGTAGGAACTCGGTCAGGCATCAAGGGCCTGAGGGAGAGAGCCATTCAACATCTGTGGCCGGTGATTGCAGAAGTAAGGTAATGTGAGTCTGAGTTTTGGTACATCATATTTGTACTCCGTTTATATTCCTTCTTAGGGATATATTTACAGCTAGGATATAAATAAATGTGCCTTTTGTTAAATAAAGTGAATATTGACTTAGTGGTATTTAGTTAACCCCTTTTATTATGCTGAGTTGTTTTTATATGTTATGTTCATGTACTGAATTGGAAGTCCCTGTCTTCTCAATAGGTAAAGATTTCTATAAATAATTCCTAAGCAATTATCAAGATTCCTATGCCTCTGAGTTCATGATTATCGATTTCTGTCCTTCCTGGGAGATCAGTAATACAGGCACATTCATATTTCAGGAATTTGGTGGCAGCCGTAAAGTTTAAGTTGTTATTAATTATAATAAATTCTTAACCCTTCATATGTAGCTTCCTCCCTCATTTAATGGTTCAGTTTAACAGTTAGCTAGGAGTTCAGTGAGGGTCACAGGGAGCTTGCAAGCATAGTTAATCTGGGGTTTTAAGTGAGAAGGTGGAGTAGCAATGTGGAGGTGTTACATGTGTATGTGTGTGTAATTACCTAAGTGTTGTTACACGATGAGAGCTACGCTCGTGGTGTCCCGTCTTCCCAGTACTCTTTGTTGTATAACACTTTGAAACTACTGACGGTTTTGGCCTCCACCATCACCTTCTCACTTAGTTTGTTCCATAGGTCTATCATTCTGTTTACAAAAGAACATTTTCTAATATTTTGTCAACACCTTTGTTTCCTTAGCTTGAATATGTGTCCTCTTGTTCGTGAAGTTGATGGTTTCAGGAATTCCTCTTTGTCAAATTGGTCTATCCCTGTTAATATTTTGTAAGTGATCGTATCACCTCCCTTCTATCTTCTAGTTTAATGCCTCTAATCTCTCATGGTAACTCTTGCTTTTCAGTTCTGGAAGTCATTTTCTAGCATGCCGTTGCACCTTTTCCAGTTTATTTATGTGTTCCTTGAGATTTGGGCCCATAGGCCCAATTTCAGGCCCAACGACCTGAAATTGGAATATGCACACAACTGCTGCATATTCCAATTTTGGATTCACTAAAATCATGAACAGTTTCTTTAGTATTTCACAATCTATATAATTAAAAGAAAGTCTGAAGTTGGAAAGCGACGCATAAGCTCCTCTCACAATGTTCTTTATGTGTTCCTCTGGCGACAGCTTACTATCCAAAACCACCAGTAGGTCTCTTTCCTTAGTAGAGTTCTGTAATTCCATTCCACATAATTTGTAAGTTGCGTGTGTGGTCTATTTTTCTCCACTCCACATTCCATAACTCATTCCATAACATGGCATCATTCTGTACTACATCTAAGCCTAAACAATTACAAGGCCCAGATGTAGTATAGAATGATGCCATGCACATCATCCTGGGTTGTACTAGAACTGTCAGAATTGTTAACATGAGAAAAGAACTAAAATTACCTTCCATTTACGAAAGAATAGTTCTACTTAGTATTATGTTTTGCGCTAAAACATTAAAAAATAATGGTCCCCCCAGCTCTATTCAAATTAAATTGAGATCCATTCTAAACAATTCTGACTGTTCCCTCAATCCGCCGCAAAAAGCTCCTTACAGTGTGTGGCTCAGTTGTTGTGCCTATAATCTTATGAAACTGATTGTGTCTCTTAATCCTGATAAAACTGTTCACTATATTCCCCCTTGGAAAGATGTGCAGATCTCTTTACATTATATCCCCATCAGTGTAAAACACTGAAACTATGAGATGTATAACATTAGAAGCTATTGAGTCATCTTCAAAATCTCAAACCAACTGAATCCTATGCCTTTACTGATGGCTCTGTGCAGTTAGGCACTGGTAGAAGAGGTTGTGCATGTGCAGTATATAAAGGGAATGAAATGATCATGTCTAGTACACAAAGATTGAACAACTGGGCAAGCACGACAAAGACTGAGCTCTTGGGTATTTAGCTAGCCACTGATTACCTTAAGCTCAATGGTGGTGGAGTGACTAAAATTATTTCAGTGACTAAAAGTGCTCAGCAGTCCTTAATAACCCATCACAGTGTATGTCTGAAGTAGATCGTAATATTAAATGGAATGTAATTTTTGCCTCTGATAATAACTATTGTATAAAATTCGAGTGGATCCCATCCCATGTTGGAGTTGGAAAACATGACTTTGTAGATCGATTGGCCAACGAGGTTTGCAGGAAAAAAAACACTGATTATGACTTTGGACTATCTAATGCAATTATTAGAGATATACAAATTAAAGAAATTAATTCAGATTTAGATGAAATAAAAATGCCCAAAAACTTGAAAGCTGGAGTAATGAAAGTTATGACAACTTTTGTAATAATAGGTATTTGTATGGTTAGCACAGTAACCGGACCAGGCAACGTGATGTAGTCATTGCGCGAATTCGCCTTGGCTATAGACACATCTGGCAGGTTAGTGAGGCTGAGCCACTACCAGAATATTCAAATTGTAAACTCTGTGATAAATCTTTAATGCATTCACTGGAAGACTATATTGTTGAATGTGAAAACGTAAAGATTTTAGACCTCCTGGCCTAGTGTACCACCAACTGTGTAACTATTTCATTCACTCAGGTGTTCTGGACGACATCCTAACAATTTATCCAAACTCTGCGTGTCCATTTTAAAGAATGAAAAACAATTTTATTTATATTAATTCTAAGCTGCATCACTTATGAACCAATCCCTGCCCTGGTGTGGCAATGCACAATAGAAAGTTGTTTTTACATTTTCATACATTAAAACATTGATTGTAACCATGATATATATGTGCTTCCACCTACTGTTTAGACTTATTGTCTTGTGTATAACCCTCTGTCCTGGGTGACAGTAAATACCAGCATTATCCTCACTTTAATAAGACTTAATTGAAATCCTCAGATTAGACAAAATTATCATTAATTTTCTCAATAAAGATGTTAATAATAAAAATAATAAACATCATTCCCCATTCCGGTGGCCATATAAGAGGCGCCAGAGACACTGCGAGCACCAGTCCCTCGCAGGCGGTTCTGAGAATCACATGGCTTCCAATATGGTGAGTCCGCCGCCCTCCTTTACTTTCCCCTGATGCTGGTTGAGAGTGATGGCCGAGAACTGCCTGCAGGTGTGGCACTGCTCGTCCTCTAGGATGGTGATACCTGCAGGTGTGGCACTGCTCGCCCGTCAGAGACAGCGACAGGAATGCCAGTGGACGGGATCTATAATCATGTTCAAAACAGACACACTTATAACAGGGCCGGAGTTAGAAGCCTTACACATGATCTATGATGATCTTGGTAACATACGCAACAGTTTAATGTTATCTCATAACTCAGATATTTTAGCGGTCTGTTTACTTAAAAACACTAGACAAATACTACCGTCTGAGTGTGAGAGTGTTGAACTAGCCAGGCAATCCTTATAGTTTCAGCTTGGACTAGCTCCAGCTAGCCAGTAGTTATATTCTTCATTTGCTAGCTCGAATTAGTATACTTATCTTCCCCTCCGCAGAGACTCATACTAGCAGTCGCCACAGTGCTGCTGTTGCTAGTGGTGGTGCTAGTTGATGGAGAGCCTTACCCCTTCTTTATCGAGACGCTTGGTGGATATGGAGGCGGATATGGCGGTGGATATGGAAAGGGTAAAGGCAAAGGTAAAGGCAAGGGTAAAGGCAAAGGAAAGGGCCATGGTGGATGCGTATGTGGATATGGTGGTGGACACGGCGGCGGATATGGCGGTGGATATGGTGGCGGCCACGGCGGCGGCTATGGCGGTGGATATGGTGGCGGCCACAGCGGCGGATATGGTGCCGGCCACAGCGGCGGATATGGTGGCAGCGGCTACGAGAGCGGATATGGTGGCGGCCACGGCGGCAGCTACGAGAGCGGATATGGTGGCGGCGGCTACGATAGCGGATATGGTGGATACGGCGGTGGTGAAAGCTATGGTGAGGAGCCCAATCTGGACACCCATATCCATAATGTATATATATATATATATATATATTAATGCTTCAAATACTTGCTA